GTACATATTAAATTATCGGAACTATAAAATTAATTGAGTTTAAACGTAACAGATTTTTGGGTGACGCTTGGTTCGTGTATTCAATTAAAAGTCAGCTACTATATTTTAAACTAAGTATTCGGTATCTAAATATTGAACCCGATTTTGGATACACGACCTAAAATTTGGATCAGTATAACCAGGAGCCGGACATTTCCGAAAATTCTTAGAGTATAGCTCGAAGGCACTTCACTCTCCTCAGCTCTCAGTCAATTACATTTCATCACTTGGGTTTATATTTTCTTGTCCGATAATACTACTTCTATGTTTGCGCATTTCTTGTTTTTTTTGTAATTCAACACCGCCAAATACATTTGAAAAAAATAATTACTGCTTTCAATGTAACAACGGTCCAACCTTTTTATTAATTTATTATTTGATAACTTAATTGTTCTTTAGAGGTCGTAGAAACTAATCTTTTTTTTTATTGTTATTTCTTATAGCTTTTGGTTTATTTACATTAATTTAAAGATATATATTCGTCAGAAAGAAAATATATTTTATACGAAATTTTACTATCTAAATCTATCTTAAGATTTTAATTAAAATTTGAGAAAAATAATTCCGAAGTTATATAAAATACAAATGAAAAAATACAAAACGATAAGAAATGGCAAAATATTATATAGAATAATAATAATAGTAATAATAATATAATAAATAAAGAAAAAATAAAATTTGAAAATTTTTAAATATCTACACCAGCAAATTGTTTCCTATCTTCTACAATTTCAAATCTTTCATGTCCATCCCAATAAATTCCTTTTAAAATAATATAAAATAATTATTAGTTATAATTATATAAATAAAATTATAACTTTATATATAATACCTTTTATAATTGGCTTATAATAATATCCAAGTTTATGTAACCATTTAGATGCTGTTTTTAAACAAATACTTTGTTTTCTGTATGACAAAGTAAAGTTTCTTCAGCATATAACTTAAATTCACTTGGAGTAGTTGTATTGCCTTCAGATTTAATCCAATTTTTACATTCTAAAGCAAAATCCTCATTATCAATTAATAATTAGTCTTTATATGTTTTTCTTGTTGACTGTTTGGTAATTTTTTTCTTTAAGCCATCATCTATTTAGGTTTAAATTAATTTTTTAGTATTATTATGTTATTTTAACAGCTTTGATATTTTATTCTTTACTATTTAAAATTTTTAAATACTCACAAATAGCTCTTTTTTTATTATATTCAAAAGCAATTAGCGTTTGTTCATCTTCTAAAAGCTGTTTTTTTAATAAATTTGTTTATGGCAAAAAATTCTGTACAGTAATTTATTATAACTACAACAAATTACGGCTAGGGTTGTTAAAAAGCTTGTCGGACCCGGTCCTTGAGTCGACTTCACAAGGACTTTTTAGGACCGACTCAAGCCTGTCCCAGACAAAGCTCCACATGCATGTCTTTGTTCTAGAAGGGCATGCATGTGATTGGTTAATTTGCATCGAGATCGATTTGACCAAAATACAATACTATTATTATTATTATATGCACGGACTCGACTCAAGGACCGAGTCCTAATCGAAGTCCCTATTTACGGAGTCAGGACCGAAAGGATCGGACTTTTAACAGCCCTAATTACGGCATTGCGCTCATGCTTCTAATTGTAATTGTGTAATGTCAAACTAATAATGGGTCTGCAGATTTATATTGTAAGTTTATTGACACAATAAAAGCAAAATAAGAGCGAATTATCTAAATACAGAATTGATAACTGAATGCGATAAAAAAAAATTTGAGAGGCTTGCGCAAATAGATCCGATTATCTGCGTGCACAACTCATATAGTTGACAAAATAATTTCTACTTTAATAAAAAAGGAAATGTGGCGAATCACGAGTAAAAGTGAACTAATAAATAAAGCGTTTCACACAGTATCGTCAAACGGGCTTGTTCATTGGTAATTGTAACATTCTTTTATTATATTATTTATCACGCATGTAAAAAATAATATAATAAAAGGATGCGACGCAAAAATACTATTCCTGATGGATCGGCAATACCGATCTTGATGGAGTTAAAAAAAAATTTATTTGAGTACTGTTC